ATTCTTGTCTGTCTATGCTCAGATAAAACTGATTCTCCCATCGATTTTTCATTTTTCTCTTTTGTCTGATCTGCCAGAAATAATAATTTGTTCGAATTTTGTGAAGGAAAGTGTATGTTATTATGCACAAGAAGTTCTTTTGAAATTTATTACTTGTCTATAATCGGTTTTAAGTAAAATCTTCGACCTGAAATTTGTAGAATATAATAGCCACAGCCATTTATTTTGAGCAAAACAGTTTCATAACACAGGTCTACTTAGGTAATTTCGGACCAACCCTAGTTTGATTTCTAATTTTCAAATAGTTCTTTATTAATGATGTGTGTAACATATATCAATGGCTCGAGACACTTATATCATGTGTTTTCAACAATTTGTTTGAAGTCGGACTTTCATTTTAAACTATTATTGAAATTAAAATGGGAACTAAATTTCAATATTTCAATATTTGATTTGGACCATGAAATGAAAATTGAAAATGTTATGTGTTCAATTAGACGCAATTCGAAGTTCAAGGACCGAAAATACAAGAGAAAATGACTTAAAAGAATCAAGAATCAAATTTAGGGATCAAAACGCAAAGTTTGAAATATGTATAATGGGAGATTGCCCAGTTACAAATAGTGGCGACCACCCGACTTAAGAAATAAATAGCAGGGACTTTGATCGTGGCCTATGCGAATGCCTGGATTGGGCTTGGTAGTCAATCTAGGATTCCAGCCACTATTCATAGTTTTTGTGGGAGAATTGAAATAACCTTGCAAGAATTCAATTAAATGAAGGTTTAAACTTGATTTTTAGGGAAAAGGAGAGAATGCACAAGTGGAGATTCAAAGAGAAACCATTGAAGAGATTCAAAATTTCAAAATTCATCTTCATCTTTTTAATTTATCAAAAATTCAAGTTATTTCTTTTCACTTAAATATGATTTCTTGTAATTTCAATAGGATAGGCTAGTTTTATACATTGCTTTGATTATGATATTTTTAGTTTTTAATTAATTATATCAACTTTAATTTGGTTTGATTTGTGGATATTTATTATCGTTTTTATCGTTCTTTTCATTTGGTTGATCATTAATTGAATTCTTAATGAATTTTATTGTTACCGAGAGAGACAATCAGGTATACAATATAATAAACATTATAAGGCTCAATCAAGGATAGAGATATACATATATGATGTCAATATGTGTTCTAGCACTTGTTGATACATTTATCATGTTTGTATTCTTCATCAAGACATAGAAGGGTCACATGAGAGGAATATATTTGATTGCTACCGAGAAAGACTTTCAATTAAATTGTGAACATTGACTAACATGAATGATTTCAAATTTTTACTTTAATTGTTTAGTACAAATGGAACAATAATGGAAATTCGACATCTTAGCAATGCATCTCACATATTTGACAAAATGCATTTACTTGCTTTCGCTAATTTAATTAATAATTTAGAGATTAGTTCAAAAAATTTCAACAACTTGTTATTATTTGATTAAAATTGTAGTTAATTTTAACTCGATCAAAAACATAGTTCTTGTAGGTTCGACATTCTATTCACTATTTTATTATTTGTTCACGATCCCATCCACTTACAAGAAATCAAACGATCAAAGTTAATTTTAAAGTCAATTATCTATTTAGAAAAATAATTCTTGAATGATTCCAAATGATCAAACGGTTGTTTTGTTTCCGTGCAAAAATAATAATTATTTGTTAAATTTATATTTTTATGTTTCCAAATTCAAATTATCTTCATCAAATTTTTTTTTTTTGGTCTATTTAACTAAATTTACTTAAGGTTAAAAACATAATACCATATAAATTTATTTGTGGATGATAAATTTATGGTGTGCCTCAATATTTGATATAAGTTTAGAGTTCACTAATGGATTTATATGACACATCACCGGTGTTTAACATAAATTGAATATCGATGCTCATTAAATCATTCATGTATATTTATTAATTCTTTACTTTTTTATTTTTATTATTTTTTTTCTAATTAAGTAAATTTATCTAAAAACTTTAGTAGTAAAAGAAGGAGCTCTTTGTTATATTTACATTTTTTCTTATAAATAATTTGTTATTATTAAACTTTGTGAATATATAATGTTGAAATTTAATGCGGATGAATAGGTAGATTTAGAGTGTGATAAATGTATAAAAGTGGTGTGAAAATATTGTGTTTTATTATGAAGAGGAAAAAAAAAAAAAAAGAGAGGATAAAAGGTCAATATATTTGTGTGATTTATTAAGAACCAAAATCTTATACTTATAGGGAAGAATTAGATATATAACGGTAATAATTTCTAGCATTGTAGGGATATAATTGTCATTCACTAATAAACTTACAATTTACAACACTCCCCCCTGAATGACACATTATAAAATATATATCTCGTTAAAATCTTGTTTAATAAAAATTCAATGGACAAAGCAAAGGAAGAAGAATACAGCTATTTTGGAGTATTAAAAACAAATGTTGGCTCACTAAAACCTTGTTAGAAAAATCTAGTGGGATAAAACCTAAGTGAAGGAAAAAAGAGTGCAACTACTCCCCTTGATATTGATCACTGAAAATCTTTTAGTCGACACATTCCAATCTCATGAGCCAAATTTTTGAATATAGATATAGGCAATAGTTTTGTGAATAAATCAGTCACATTGTCATTTGAGCAAATTTGTTGGACATTGATGTCATCATTCTTTTAAAACTCGTGTGTATGAAAGAATTTTAAAAAAATATGATTCGTTCTGTCACCTTTGATATAATCTCCTTCAAATTGTGAACTGAAACACCCCCAAATCTAGATACCTAGATTTAGAAATAGTATCATTTAATTTCCTCTTAAAACCATAAATGTGGAAAACTGATTATAAATTTTTTATTTAACATAAAAATATTAACAACTTTCACTTTAGAAAAGAATTTTAGAAAACTTTTATATTTAATAAAATAGAGGAAATTACTAGAAATGTCCACTTTCACATATCCATTTGCAAAAATGTCCACCATTGCAAATCCTTGAAAAAATGTCCATTTTGGAATAATTTAGACCAAAATACATGATTCCAAACAAAGATAAAAATGGACATTTTTACAATTAAATATTTTATTGACCAATAAAAATTTGACACTTGACCTACCCTATTTATTTCAAAAGTACACTCGTCAAATCATAATAAATGTTATTTTTCTCATTGACATTGAAATGTCAAGAACTACATTTCAATTGTAGAGAAATATCATGTTAAGAAAGAATTGTCATTCTAAACATCTATTATGTTGAGAACAACATTTGAAATGTTGAGAATATTTGGCCCCGTTTGGTACCCATTTTTGTAAGAATGAGAATGAAAAATTTAGTCGTTATAGGACCCACACAAGAGATAGAAAGTCAAATATGGTGGCTTGATGTGATAAATAACGGTCATATTTTTCATTTTTGTAACCAAAGAATGGAAATCAAACGGGGCTTAATGTTGTGATTTAACATGCGTACTTTTGAAATATAAACGAGGTTCAAATAACAAGAACGATATTTGAAATGTCGAGAACATCATTTTAATGTAACTTTTCATAGAAGCTACTTCTCGAAATCCACGAAAAATTGGAAAAAAAATTAATTGCTTTGTTTTTTCTTTAAAGGCATAATAGATAGTTTAGTACTAAATTTAAAAAGTGGACATTTTTTAATTGACACCTATAAAATTGGACATTTTTTAAAATACCCCATAAAAATATAAGATGATCAAAAAATTAAATGTTAAACTTATTTCAGCTTGAATCAAACATTAAATGTATTAGTACCAAGTCCGTCTCACTACAAATAGTAGTCTCGAATCATTCTGCCTTCATCATCTAAAAATGGAGAGGGATAATGTGGAATGAGCTAACGCTCAGTAAACAATCCTCATGCACATTTGTATCTATCATTTTGGGGATCTAATATAAGTTTTATATAATCAATTGTCAATACTTTTATATTGAATCAAGATGTGTATCACTATTCCATTAACATGTAGCATATACATGTATATATGTGTATTTATTGTGTGTATTTAAAAGCTAATTGTTAGTTATGTTACATTTTGACACCCCCTATTTGTGGGGTCTGGACATCTAGAATAATTCAAAGTATATAATGCTTACCTCAAGAGCTTTCAAGACTTCTCCAGTCATACATTTTTTCCTCATTGACGCATTCAATCTGTCTTTCTATTAGTTTATTCAGAATAACTTCTGGAACAATCTTAATCTGAATATGATGGTATCCCTTCACCAATAATCCTTCTTCATTCCAAAATGGTATTGTACTATTAATTTTTAACATCATTTGTAATCTTGGTCTTTAATAACAAATTTCTTGAAATCCATTAAGGTTTTCAATAGTTTGTTATCAATCAATTGTATTTCTTCCATGGTTTTACTGAGGACTATCATCTTGATCAATCCACGGTGGAATGCTGTCTGTACCATTGTTGGATCAGCTCCTTCAAAGAAAATGAACTGTCCAAATTTTTTCTCCATTGTGCTATAATAGTTTTTTTCTGGGGCATATGCTCCTACTATTCTGGCTTCTTCTCCATATTGAAGAAAATCATTTAATGTTATCCCATTAAAGAATGGGCTTTCCTGTTGTTTTGGTATTTTTCCAATCTTTTTAAATCTATCTGGAATATACTCAATTTTAGGATTGGATTGGATTGCATTGCATTGGATTCCATCTTTGAAGGAAATCATTATGATTCTCCGATTTGGCTTGGTGGTGGTTTAAAAAGTTGGGCTGGTAATCGGGATCTTGCCCTTGGACTTTGTTTTGACAATTTGGTCTTAAATGAATATTATCAAATTCAAAAAGCTATTTTTATGGAACTGGGCTGTCTCCTTTATTTTTATAATGGTTTGAAAAGGCTTTTTGAACTTCTGTATAAGTTTTGAAACTTTTATGTTTATAGGGCTTGTTTTTTACAAGTGGTTCAACTTGTACCCAGTTGGTATAAAATCCTCTTTGTGGCCCATCAAAGATTACATAGAATTTTGTTCATACAAGAGATGTATTAACACCAACACGTGGTAGATTTGCAAAGTTTTCTTGAACTTTTAGTCCTTCTTTTGGGCTTTGAATACCCTTTAGTTAGTGAGAACTTCGAGGCTTAAAATGCACTCCTGTCTGTAATTGGGTTTTTGGCCCTTGAGCTTCTGACTCTTCTTTTGGATTTTGAATACCCTTTTGTTCTTGAGAACAATGAGCTTTACAATGCTCATCTATTTTGAGTGTATTCCTCAGGACTGTATTTTCATCTTCATTAGTCTTGCTAATGTTGATTTCTTCTCTTTGGGGTAGTGGTTGTTTTTTAGAGATATCACTCTTCCTCTTTGAAATAGAAGTTGATTGTTTAATATTAAGAAGTCTAGTAAGCTTCTTTTTCAGAATTTGTACCTTCTGTTGTCTTGTTGAGATTTCCATCTCTTCCATTTCGATTTGTATTTCTAGATCAGCAATTTGATCTTCAATTCTATCATTTTAACCTGCAACAGCAAATTCTCTTGTTAATGTATCAGCTAAAGAATTATTTTTCCCTTTTATTATTTCAATTGAAAAATCATAATGGCTGAACCACATCTACCATCTTACAAGTCTTCCTTGCTTGTAGTCTGGATGTGTCTAACTTTTCAAAAATGAATTACAAGTACTTGAATCGGTTCTGACAATGAACTTATCAAAAATTAATATACAGTCTGAATTTTGTTATTGCTTTTTTCACAGACAAAATTTCTTTTTCATTTATGTGATAATTCTTTTCTGCACTTGAAAAAGTTCCAGTAGCATAATCACATAATTTTTCTTCTGCTTATCCTTGTTGATCAAGAGCTTTCAAGACTGCTCCCCAATGTTCTTGAGAGGCATTTGTCTCAATTATCATTTTATCACCTACTTTGGGATGATATAATGATGGCAAAAATTTTAATTTAGATTTAATTTTTCTAACATAAAGAGTATCTTCTTTAGTCCTAATCCATCTAAAATCTTTTTTGAGTTTTTTCTGGAGTGGTGTTCTCATTTATGCTAAATCTTTTATAAAAGATTCTGCATAAGTGAGACATCCAAGAAATCTCATCAACTGTTTTTTATCTTGAATTTCGTTTGGAAATTCTTGAATATGAGGAAGGATATGGGGCTTAAGTTTTTTATAGCCATTTGCTATATCTAATCCAAGATATCCAAATTTTTCCTTAAACAATTCTACTGTCTTTTCAAATAGCACAATACCTATATTGTAAGCTTCCATTAAAACATTAGTTACATGCTTTTCATGTTCATTTTCTGTATCAGAAAATACTAGAATGTCATCAATATATACACAACAATATTTGTTATGTTTTTTGAAAATATTGTCCATGTGTCTTCGGAAAATACCTGGTGCTTGTTTTAGCCCAAATGGTACCACCTTCTATTGATAACATCCTTGTGGACAACTAAATGCTATAAGATGTCTTGCTTCTTGGTTGAGTATTACTTGTCAAAAGCTAAATTTACAATCAAAGGATGAAAATGAGGTTTTTCCTTTTATTAGTTGTAATAGACTTTACATATTTGGAATTAAATATCCATCTGTCTTAGTAATTTTATTAAGATGAGAATAGTCAACTACCATTCTAGCTTTTCCACGTCTCTTTTCTGCTTCTTTTCTTACCATAAAGGTTGGTGAAGAAAATTGAGATTTACTGGGTTCAATAACCTGTAGTTCAAGCAATTCTTTTATTTGTACTGAGAATTCATCTCTATCTTTAGGGCTATAAGTCATTGCCTTAGTTTTAACAATAGCTGTTTTAAATTCATCAAGTAATTCAATAGTTGATGTCATATTTCCTTTATTCTTTTGAGGATCGAAAGGATTTTCTGAGCAACATTTTTCAAGTAATTCTAAGATACCCTCTCTTCGAGAGTTAATTTTGAATTCTTGTTTTTCTTTAGTAGTGATAAAAACTACCTTCTTTGTGCAATATTTTCACCTTGAAGTTCCTTAGAATCCTTCTTTTTGTTATCAATTTTCATTGTATTCAAGAATTTTTATTGCAAAGTATTCATAGCTACCGCCTTTCTTTGTTTTGGAATCCATATTCTTTTACTACTGATAGTAAACCTAATAGATTCAATTTCTTCAATGAATGGATGGTATAACTGATAAAAGTTATTTCCAACCATAAAATCAATACCAGTTTCCAATTGGTATACAGTAGGTATTTTGAAATAAAAAGTTTTCCATTGGGACTTATGGTAACCATTAATTTCAATATTTAATCCTTTTACTACCATAGAAGTTTTAACTTCAGATTTATTTGCAATCTTAAGATTTAAAATTCTTTCAGATGTTACCCAAAATTGTTTTGGTATAACCCATTTACTTGCTGTGCATACTGAAGCTCCAGTATCAACATAAGCATGGATAGTAATCTTTCTATATCCTTCAAATCTTAATTTTATAGGAATATAGATATAATTAGGATTTGTAATATTTTTACTACTCATCGTCTGATGATTCTGTTTCTGAATATTCAGATTCAGTTTCAGTAGTTAGATAATATAATGATTCTGTATCACTAGGTCTTCTACTGGGTAGAAACCTTTACTTTGGAATGTATTTAGGAGTTTGATTCTTTCTTCATTTTTTAATCTTGCTTGGCATTCATTTGCATAATGTCCAGATTTATTGCAGAGCCAACATTTGCAATTTTTTTTTTCTTTTGAGGACAAAATTTTTTCTTGTCCACCAATTTTCCTTTTTGTTTAACTTCCCCCCTTTTCTGGGATCTTTTGAAAAATTTCTCTTTTTAAAATTTTTTCTGATATGGTTTTTTATATCTTTTAAATATGTAATTTTTCTTTTTAAAAGATTTTTTCTTTGTTTCTTTCTTTTTGGTTGGTATACATCCATACTGTCCTAAGATTCTATTGAGATAATTTTCACAACAAAGTCTAGGATTTTTGGTTATAGCTTGTTTACTATTCTTACTAGAATGCTTTCTTTGCATTTATCTGCCAAAAGATTTCTAGTAAGTGTAATAGTTAATTCTAAGGAAGCATCAATCTTGATGTTTAGTTTTGGATCAACATTATTCTTTTGTTTTATTATTGTATTAATAAAAAGTTCCATAACCTCATGGTTAAAAGATTCAAGCAATTTTCTAATAAATTTTTCAATTAATTTAGTCCATTTTTCATCAGGACATATATAAAAATATTTTGAAAATTCACATGCATAATTTTCAAAATAACATATATCACAAATAGAAATTTTTTCTAAATGATTTAGTGCATCAACAATTTCAATTGTGGTTCTTTCACTTTTAAATGCTTCACAAGTTTGACCGGTGAACTGTTTGTAAAGTTGTTCAACAATTCTTTTGATAAATTGTGGAATGTTATATTGAGAATCTCTCCATATAATATTTTTTACATTATGATCAAAATTTTCTAAAAATGATCTAACATTTCCTCTAGTACTGGCTAGTACATAATTCCAAGAATTAGATTCATTTTTAATAATTTCTTTATTAATTATCATGGCTACCATTATATGGCTATACCATGCATCAATAAGTTTCTCAGGTTCCAGTGTACAATCCAAATCTATAAATTGTAACTTGCTGGCTACTTCTTTTTGGAACATATTCAGATTGTAAAAAATTCTGATCAGTTTCCTCACTTATCGAAATAGATCTAGGATTGTTGTCTCCTTCAATCCTTTTTCCATCTCCTTTTGGATTGTAGCTAGTTGATGCCAGATCATCAACTCTAATTCCTTGTTCTTGTTTAGGTTCCCTTATAACAATAGCAAGTTCCCTATTTGTGAAGAATCTTTCATGAATTATAATTTCTTCATCAAATTCAGAAAGATTTTCTGGTTCAATCAAAGGTTCAGAGGATTTTGATTCCTCATCTTCATATTTAATTGTCATAATATTTTCATTGTTTCCTATGTTAATATTTCTAACAATATTTTCAATTTTTTTTGTAACTCTAAGTCTTCAAATGCAAGAAGAACATTTAAGAGTCCTAGATCATTAATAGTCTCATAAATATTTTCAAGATTTTTTTCTAAATTTTGCATATTAATTCAAAAATTTAATATCAAATTTTCCTTCAGCTTTTCCTTTTTCATCTTTTTCTTTTTCAAAAATTCCTATAGAAAATTTAGGAATTCTCTTATTAATATTATTGTTATTTTTAACTCCTGCTATAATTATAGTAGAATGTTTTTCCATTAATTTTTCCGTATTTTCTTGAAAATTTTTAATATTACCCTTGATTTCTTCAATACTTTCTTTTAATGTTTTAATTTCTTTTAATATATCTATAATAGACATATTATGTTATTCTTCTCCATAAATAGCTTTAGCCATTTCATTAACAGTTTTACTTAATTGTTTTAACTCTCTACTTTGACTAGTTTCTTCTTCCTCCTTCCATTGACATTTGGAAGTGGTTTTCTATTTAAAGATAAACTTCTGGTTAGAATAGGTCTCTGTTCTTTAATTAATGTTCTTTGATCATTAAAATTAATTTTCAAAGATTTTCTAGATGGTTGTATTAACCATTCAAATTCTATTTCTTTATTTCTAGGCAATCTGAGAATAAATGATCAATTTTTATTCCTTTTGGTTCCTTTACAATAGTCAAATTGTGTTGATTATGAATAGCATAACTAACAAGATATGATATTGGAAAAGGTATATTATTGTCTTTGACTAAATCTGTTCTTCCATACTTATGTATAAAAGATAGTATTTCGTCAAAGTTTTGATCATGTAGACTTACTGAAAGTCTGGGATAAACTGTAAATATCAGTTTTCCACGTGCTAGATTTCCTTCGAGGGACCCTAGACATCTTTTTGCAGGATTTTGAGTTCTTTCATCAATCAAACTCATTGAAATAGGTTGATCAATTTTGTCAGACAAGGTGCTTCGAATCTGAATTCGAATTGCTCCTATAGCAACCCAAAAGAGATTTTTGTTATTGTCAAGATTTATCTTTTGTTTAGCTTTATTTATGTCTTGTTTAGTAAGTAAAAAATTCCTATCTTACCATATGTATGTTGTATATGTATAGCAAACTTTTTTTGAGATACACCATAATATATATGTATGTTTCTGTTCATAAATCTGTCTAAGAAACCTATTTGAGAAAAGATTTCTTTAGGCTCAATTGTAAGTTTTATCTTATATATCTTTGCCAATTTTTTGTCAGATATTAAGATTTCTTTTGAGAAATTTCCTTGTGATTCAATCTGTTCACAAATTTCATCATCAGTATTATCATTATTTTCACTATTATGGTTTTCAACTTCCATAATTAATAATGACAAGTAATATAATGTAAAATAAATGTTTTAACAATGTATTCATATTCCTGTAGTGCATTAATCATACGTAATTTCGTCATAGTTACTGTACTTCTTGGTATTTCTGTATACAATATATAATTGTATCTATCTTGATAATATTTGTAAATATGATATTCAGATGTGAATATAAGCATTTGTGTATTACAATTATGACAATCAATCATTATTTATTTAAAGATGTGTAACCTAAATATTCTTTTAAATTTCTAACACTTAATCTGTTATTTATTAGATTTAAATAAAATCTAAGTGTTAACATGTGTCTAAAGATTTTTTACTTTTTTAGGTAATTTATTTGTTATGGGTTTCTCATATTTCTAGCTCTAATACCGATTTGAGGAAGTTTAATTATTTATACGGGTTATGTTTATAGATCTTGAAAATAAAACAGACAATGTATATAGATAGAAGAATCCATATAGACATCATGTATTTAAATAATTCTAAAAGAATATAAAACTCATAACCTTCTTACAGTATGTAGAGATTGGTTGATTCTTCTTACGCTTTCGTTCTGTATACTCCCTTGCCTCACTTTGATGAATCACCTAGACTGTCTTCCCTAACGGCCTCTTGCCTAGTGGTATTTCTTAGTCTCATTGATTCTTTAAAGATCCGTACATGAGTTTATATATGGAAATAAAAGTGTATGAAGACATGATTAAAACATGAAGTTTTATTCAAATAAGAAGGTTGAAGAGAAACGAACTCTTAAACTTATTTATTTACACGAAAGATCCATTGATGGAACCACTGTCTTTTGAGGTTTTAGCCTCGAATAGTGTACATCAGAGTTTTCAGATAAAAGAAAATTTTTTTAAATTTTTTCTCCTCCTTCTTTGAAGTCTCTTCTTTTATAGTTGGGTGGAAAGATTCCCTTTTCTCCTGATTCGTCCATTTGTCTATATCAATGGTTATTTTATTTTTATTTTTTTTTTGTACAAAAGCAAACGTAATGATAAAGTGATATGACAAATTTGTCGGCCATGCTTTCTTTTTGTACAAGCAGATTCTCCCTTTTTGAAAAGTAGATGCTTCTCTTTTTATTCTGATTGGCCTTCATGGCTTTTGCTTTCTACTTAACTCTCTACAGTGCTTCCACTTGATTCGTCTTCTTCTGTCTACAACATTCCTTTTGATTTTTCATTGTCCTCCATCATTTTACACTATTGACATTCATGATATTTTCCAAGACTCTATTTTAGTGCTTTGCACAATTGTCCTTTGTAATTTGTCGGGACATTCAATAAATTGTACAAATTCCTTTCAAAGCTGCATAGTGCTTTGATTCCTTCAATTTTTATCAGTGATCCTGTCTTACTGGTAACCAAGATGAAATTTGATAAATAATTTATCTTGATTTTTGATTCTTATATATATAGTCCAAGTAGACGTTGAAAATAATTAAAACTATGCCTAACATACGTTTTAAAAAGAGGCATCTAATTTGTCTTTTCTTTAAAATATTTCATTTATTTCAGAAAGATTTATTAGTTTTATTCAATAAATTTCTTAATATAATTTACATCATTTTATTTGAAAATTTAAAATGGGGTATAGCATAAATTTTTTTCAAAATTTTACATCCGAAAAAGTCATACCACATAAATTTTCAAATTTAAAATTCACTATAAATTTACATGAGTATGATTTATTTATTTATTATTTTTTTCATGTAAATTTTCAAATGTAAAGTTCCTCTTAATTTTTTTGCAAGTTGATTGTGCCCTCTAACTCAATCAAACATTAAATGTATTAGTACAAAGTCTGTCTCACTACAATTAGTCATCTCGATTCATCTTGCCTTCGTCATCTAAAAATGGGGAGGGATAATGTGGGATGAGCTAAGGCTCAGTAAACAAACCTCGTGCACATGATACATGCTTATGATATACATATGAATTACTATAAAATAAAATAAAATACTTCTCTTTATGTATTCCCTTCTATTCATTTCTTTAAAAACATAACATTGACATCGTAAGCTCACTTAATGTATCGCCTAACCAATAAAAATGCAATGTGTAATTATTATTTGGAACCTAGTCGAGTCCTACCAATAGTACCACAAAATAGTTAACATTAACATTGTCATTGAACATTGGTCGGTGCGCAGATCTCCCACGCCCTATTTTTTACACACACCTTTCATGACATAGACATGCTCCTCGTAATAAAAATATTCAGGATTTTTAAAAGCATTCATTGACTCGTGACATTTGGAAATTTCTTATTCCTTGAAATTTCATGTATGCTTTATGGATGCATTATTGTGCATGAATATGTCATTAGAAGAATTAATAACATAAAAGGTAATAATCAAATATCAAGATCACGTAATAACATATTTTGGTAACATATTTATATATTTAATAATGTAACGTGCACATAAAGATTATGAGAGGTTTACTTAGTCTTAGCAATTTACTTTTTGAATGGCAGTGGAAATGTTCTTAACCACCCGCGAGTCAATTTACCCAATATCCTAATTCATTATCATTTGTTTAGAAATTTCAGTAAAATCCACTCTTTGACTGTGAACTCATAATATTGTTCTATTAAATTAATTTTATTTATTTGTTATTATTAAAACCATGTGAAAACAAAAGTTTAATATGCATAAAAGTAAATGTGGAATTAACTGTAAAAATACATAGGCTAGGTACTAACCAATTAATAATTATTAAAATAGAAATTTTATTTTTATAATAAAAAACAATACATATGTACTCAAGCATACCTACTGACCCAGATTTATATATAGATACAAACACACCATAATTATGCGTACCTTTATTATATACATTGCAATGTACATACGGATACATATATATACAACTGATGCGCATAGATAAATGTAACATAGCTAACACATAGATTTACATATAGCTATTTAAATACACACAATAAATACACATATATACATGTATATGCTACACGTTAATGGAATAGTGATACACATCTTGATTCAATATTAAAGTATTGACAATTGATTATATAAAACTTATATTAGATCCTCCAAATGAGAAGAAGCAAGAGGATAATTCTAATGCCTTATCAACGGAATCCAAAAACATTGAGAACTAGATGAGATAAAGCAGATTGGATAGTATCTGGACTATTTTTCATATTTTGTCGGAGGAAGATGATTTTTCTCGCATGAAGGATTTATAAGGTAGAGTCTTGACTTTTAACTTAATGATGGCTAATTATATGCAATTTTTTCTAATTAATTAAGTAATGAGATCTCGTATTAATCCTATTGACTTATTTAATCTTTAAATAGGCTGTACGTACTAAAATCCAATTATGGCGTTTAAATATTATTTCCGTATTAAATTATAGAAAAATATTCATTTATTATGTAGATGCATATTACTCTAACTTGTTATCTAGTTTCAACCCAGAAGTTAAATTATTCATGAACACATAGTAAAATAAATATATTATATTAATAAATTATAGACCTATCATAATTAAATTAATTGGCACGTCGATCGCCCAAGACGTCGATGGTACATTCAACTGTAAAAACATGGTTAGTCATGAGGATGATAATTATATTAATTACACAATAAATATAATATTAATGAAACTAATCCAGATAGACATGATAATCACAAGAAATGAGTATGCAACATTACAAAATCCTACTCCTTAAAATAAATTTCATCCTCGAAATTAAATCTTACCAAATGGATGTGGTTACTTAATATTCAAAATTCATATTAATTCATAGGATAATTCTATAAATATCATTTACATTTCAACTTGTAATATAGCACATATAAATCCTAGGGCAAGCTGCATTGTCTTTATATAAGATTATTGGACTATCTTTTGTTAAAATTAAACCGTATGATGCTTGGATATAATAGGTCATGTTCATCAACCATACACATTCTTAGTCTACTTCATGGATTACAATAATTTCATAATGATTTGAGGATGTTTGACAATGATTGTTTTACAAATCTCTATGATATAGTTGCTCTTTCACATATAAACACATATCCTATTTGTTATTTAGCTTTATGTGGGTTAGAGAAATGTTATGTATCTGTATATTCCACTAAAGCGGATATTGACTTTTGATAATATAATAATTTCAAATCAATTGTGCCCTTTAGGTGACGAAAAATATGCTTTACACAATTCTAATATTTTTGAGTTGTGTAGAGTTATATCTTGCAAGGAGATCTACAGAAAAAGCTATATCGGATTGAATGCAATTTACAAGATAAGTTAATACTCCAATTACATTAAAATATAGTATTTCAAGACCAAGAATTTTTTTCCAACTTTAAGTGGACGAAATGAATCTTTTTTCATATCAAGTTATCAAACAATCATAGGTGATGTCAATGGATGTGCATCATCCATATAAAAACATTTTAAAACTTTTTCTGTATAAGTAAATTAATGAACAAATAATCCTTCTAAAAAGTATTCAATCTGCAGTCCAAGGTAAATCATGATTTTTCCTAAATCTTTCATCTTAATTTCATTTTTTCGAATAATCAGTAATATTGTTGAACTCTTCACAAGTTCCAATTAATCCTCCTTTAGTAAATATTCGCTAAGAGGATTATACCATATTGGTTCAGATTGTTTCATTCCAGATGATGATCTTTTGAATTTAATTGAGAATATGGTTCTCGAGTATGTATCATTTCTTCCTGACACTTTAAATCCTTCGATGGCTTTCATAAATATGTCACTATCAAGTGAGCCATACAAATAGGTAATTACTACATCCACAAGACTCATATCAAACTTTTGTGAGACAAACAAACTAATTAAGAATCTAAAAGTGATGATATCCATTACGGGAGAATATGTTTTTCATAATCAATTTCAAGCCTTTGTGAGAAATCTTAAGCTAAGAATCGGGGTTTATATCTTGTAATTTCATTATTTTTATTTCTTTTTCATAAAAAAACTCATTTGTATCCAATAAGGATTACATTTTCAAGTGTTCAAATTACAGACCCAAACACTTTCTGTTTTTCTAAAGAATTCAATTCTGCCTATATGATTTCTTTCCATTTTGGCCAAACATTTCTATTTTGATAGTCTTTAA